AGTGCTAGGATTACATGAGCCAGCTGAGCCATGTGCCCAACTGAGGTTCTGAATTTGGTCAGGCCTCTTAACTTTCTGAAAAAGCAGCTGTTTGAGTTTTGCTTTTTTTTTTTTTTTTCCCAGTGGTGGATCACAGCTCACTGCAACCTCTGCCTCCCAGGCTCAAGTGATCCTCCCACCTCAGCATCACAAGTAGTTGGGACTACAGACTCACGCCACCATGCCCAACTAATTTTTGTATTTTCTGTAGAAATGGGGTTTTGCCATGTTGCCCAGGCTGGTCTTGAACTCCTGGGCTCAAGTGATCCGCCTGCCTTGGCCTCCCAAAATGCTGGGATTACAGGTGTGAGTCACTGTGCCTGGCCTGGTTTTGCTTCTTTTTAAAAAATAAAAATAAAAAGAGAGTAATGATTAAATAGCTTTGTGACTCAAATTCAGCCAGAACTGCGTTCAAATCCCAGCTCTGCTGTTTATTGGCTTTATTCGTGACTGTGGGCAAGATGCAGTTTCTGAGCCTCACTGTGCCCCTCTTTAGAATGGGTGCTGTGAGACTCAAACACCATGAGGCACATAAACTGCCCAGGACACTTTTGGACACTTGGTACCAGCCATCACCACCACCATGGCCATGGCCAGAGGATTTCAAGCACTCAGCAAATGGTGCTGGCCAGGCCTGTCCAGGATTTCCTAACCATCTGTGACAGAAGACAGACAAAAGACATTGTGGAAAGGCGGCTGAGCTTTTGGAGAGAAAAGACCATCCCTTTGTGCATGAAGTTTGAAGAACCATCAACTCGTGGAGTCTGGGACTCGTCCTTCTTCACGAAAGGTTTATGAAGCCGACAGAGGCCAGGGCTTCTAAGAATTTCCAACCTCGATATTTTCACTTGATGGTTTTTCATGAAGTCAGCATGAACACTGTTAATGTTTTCTCATTAAGCTACTTTTTGTTTTCTTTCAATAGCTGACATTGAAAGCCTGGGTGCATTCTTCCAGGACATCGCTGCTCTGACAGCACAACACATTTGCGATGGGAACTGATTTCTGTTTTGATGAGGGAGACCGGAGTCTCCCTCTCTGAGGGAAAAGGGCTTTCACATACCAGAAATACCCTTTGTGGCTACTTCTGTCAGCTCCTGTCCTCACACGTGAGAAAAGTAAGGCTCACTGCACAGGTCCTCCCAGCTAGGGGAGCTCACATCCTGGGCCTTCTGAAATGACAGTAAAGCGGGGGCTCCCAGCTGCTATGCCACATGGTGCCTGCTGGTGGTGGCGCTTACACGCAGACCCAGGCTCACCGCAGATCTCTGGAGGAAGCTGTGCAGCCCTTTGTGTGAACAGAAGCAAGGTAGCTTCCTGAATTCCACCGTTTACACAGGGCCAGGGCCTGCCTGGGCGAGAGACGACAGGGCTCAGTAATTCCAAGAGTAGACATGTGCGAGATGTGTCTCCAAGAATGTTCTTCCCTGCATGGTCCTGGCAGAGGACATTCGAAACAACCTGAACATCCAGCAATAGGTGACAACAGATTGCATCACTCGGATGTGCTGGTGTCAAAGGATGTGCTAGGATATTTAATCCCAAGGGAAGTGTTTACAACTCAGTTGGCAGAAAGGAGGTTACAATTCAAATGACTTTTTTGTTTTTTTGATATATACATCCTTTTCTTTTTTCTTTTTCCAGACAGTCTCACTCTGTTGCCCAGGTTGGAGTATAGTGGTGTGATCTTGGCTCACTGCAACCTCCGCCTTCTGGGTTCAAGCGATCCTTCCACTTCAGCCTCCGTAGCAGCTGGGACTACAAGCATGCGCCACCACACCCGGCTAATTTTTGTATTTTTAATAGAGATGGGGTTTCACCATGTTGGCCAGGCTGGTCTCGAACTCCTGACCTCAGGTGATCCACCTACCTCGGCCTCCCAAAGTGCTGGGATTACAGGAGTGAGCCACTGCACCCAGCTGAATGTCATTTTTACAAGATGAAAAGAGTTTTGGAGGCCGGGCGCGGTGGCTCAAGCCTGTAATCCCAGCACTTTGGGAGGCCGAGACGGGCGGATCACGAGGTCAGGAGATCGAGACCATCCTGGCGAACACGGTGAAACCCCGTCTCTACTAAAAATACAAAAAATTAGCCGGGCGAGGTGGCGGGTGCCTGTAGTCCCAGCTACTCGGGAGGCTGAGGCAGGAGAATGGCGTAAACCCGGGAGGCGGAGCTTGCAGTGAGCTGAGATCCGGCCACTGCACTCCAGCCTGGGAGACAGCGAGACTCCGTCTCAAAAAAAAAAAAAAAAAAAAAAAGAAAAGAGTTTTGGAGATGGATGGCGGTGATCCACACAGATTTATGCATGTATTAATTCCTCTGAACTGCACATTTAGAAATGGTTAGGATGGTACATTTTATGTTGTTTATGTTTAAACACAATAAAACAACTGGAAAAAAGGACCTATTAATGCTTATTTAAAATTCAGACACAATTTACTTTAGAATTTAATAGAAATTACTCTGAAAAAAGGCACCTTAATTTTAAGGGAACAGCTCAATGAGTTTTGATAAATGTCATTGCCTGTGTATTCACTACCACAATAAAGATAGAGAACATTTGCATCTTCTATTTACCCTTTTCTTCTCCTTCTTCTCCTTCTCCTCCTCCTCCTCCTCCTCCTTCTGTTTTTTTTTTTTTTTTTTTTTGGAGGCAGAGTCTCCCTCTGTTGCCCAGGCTGGAGTACAGTGACGCAATCTTGGCTCACTGCAACCTCCGCCTCCCGGGTTCAAGCAATTCTCCTGCATCGGCCTCCCAAAGTGCTGGGATTACAGGAATGAGCCACGGCGCCCAGCCTTCTATTTACTCTTTTCTAATGGATCTCCATCCAGCTTTTTGTCACTATATATATTTTTCTAGAGTTGCCATTAAATGTTAAAATAAGTAATAAACGTAACCAAGATCACCAGAGAGCAGCATTTACATCAGTAACAATAGCTACCCTTCTGTTATGTGCTTTACATGTGCCAGGCCTGTCTCTATCTTACAAATATTGGTCACTTGATAGATGGCGATGTCTTTTCTAATGCTCACATTAACCCTGTAAATTAGCTTTCCTTTTGTTGTTTTACAAATGAGGAAATAGAATCTCAAAGAGGTCTTCCTTCTTCTACTCTGTCATAGTCTCTGCCAATTTCTGGGCTAGCTGGGTGGCCTCATTTCAGAATAAAGATGCGTATAGGGGGAAAAAAATGGGTGTTGGTGAATCAGAAAGTCTTGGGGGAAATAATGCATGTTCTAGCAGGTTCTAGCAAAAATACTGGGCTGAGATTCAGGAGTCCCTGGGTCTCAGCCTCCACTTGGCCAGGAACCAGCTGTGGGGCGTGGCCTCGATCACCTCAGTGTTCATAGCTCTCTCAGTCCCACGCTACCCTGCAGTTCTTGTTTTCTAATAAAGACTTTTACCACCCCCAGAAGTTTCTCAAATTACAAAATAATTTTCAATCACAAGGTGGGGGCAGGGGGTTTGGGAGGGGCTCCAGGGAGTGCTTATGTAGATGAACGCACATTTGACAGCGAAACGTACATTTCTAACTGCAAAATGAAAGGAAAACTATGATTTTCATAATGCAAAAATTGGAGGTGAAGCCGAACAAGATGTTCTTAGACATTGGGACATGGGTTTAGAAATGGTGCAAATGACTCATTTGCCATAATCAGGAAGAAGGAAGCTCTACACCCTCAGATGGAAGAAGGAAGACCCCAGAAAAAGGATTTACAGTTCTACAAGGTAATTAAAAAACAAAAACAAAAAAACCCGGCTCACATCAAATCCAGAACAAAGCCACCAAGCCAAGCCCTTCTGGACACCTGGGCTGGAGACCCCCGTGCCCCTGCATGGGTGAGCAGGACGTCAGGGGTGCCTTGACCCTACCTACTCCCCATTGCTCATGCCACTCAATGAATGAAACCCCACCTGGGCGATTCAGCCGGCTTAGCCACCTGGGGCAAATCAAACGCAACCTGAAAAGCAAAGCCAGCCCAATTCAGCACACTGGTGGCTTCAGAGGTTCCGGTATGCACAGAGCTGCGTGGGAGGAGGAACTCAGCCCTTGCTACACCTCTGCTCTTGCCTGGAGAGCCCCCTGCTGGCCAGCGCTGCCTTGTCCTCTGCGGGCTTGGCTCCCTCCAACCACACACACCAGGGAGCCCAGCAAACGCCCAGGGTTGTGTGCCTGGCCCACCTGGGGCAAACCCTCAAGACCCGGCAGTCCATCTCTGTGACCCTCAGCTTCCTCACATGAGCAGGATCCATCCCCTAAGCGCTCAGAGCATGGCTGTGCCTGTGAGATGGCTGGTACACAGCTGACCTCCAGGCCTGCCATCACCACCTTCGTGAGCACTACATCCCAGGCCCTCTCTGTCTCCTCTTCCTTGTAACCCTCAGGACAAGCCTGAGAGCAAGCTGAGAGGACAATCAGTCAGTGGTCCACGACCTACCCAGGGAGTGGCTGGGTGTGATCCACACTACAGTGGGTCTGACCCCAGAGCCCCTGTCCCGGGATAAGACGCAGCACAGCCTGGATTTACAAGCCCCACTGTTTGGGTTCAAATTCCAACTTCACCACTAACAGGGTGTGCGACCTTGGGTCACTCAGCCACTTTTCTGGGGCCCCCATTTCCCTCCTGCTCCATGGGGGAGGGAGGAATAGAATACCATGGGGAGTTCTTGTAGAGATTTGAGCCGAAAACATCCATGGAGTGCTCAGAACAGGGGCTAGGGGACAGTAGCCGCCTTCCTTATTTCCCCACGCTCCCTGATCGCATCAGCCACTCTCTTCCCCATGTCCCTGGAAGGGGCTGCAGAGGGGTAGGTGTGGAACCAGAGGCTGCCATCGCCCCCACCCGGTTTGGGTCGTGTCCCCCAGTGCAGCCTCTGCCATCGCCCTCAAGAGCATTTATCACGCATTTACCACGGATCTTTAAAACGAAAGCTGCAGGGGAGGGTAATTAAGTTTAATAGGAGCCGCCGTCGATTTAAAGCCACAGGGGGGAAGTAATTAGATTTAACAGAAGCCACGGCTTTCTGAACCAAGACACACAGCGTGGGGGTCCCTGGTCTAGAAAGCCTTCGGGATGATGTCTTTTTGTAAAGACTTTCCTGGTGACATTTGCTGCGCCCTCAGTCATTAACGCCAGTCACTGACTGGGGGATGAATGTGGCCTCTGCTCATTGAAATTCATTAGGCCTGGCATTTCTCTCGCTGTCTCTCCCGTTTGCCCTCCCCATCGCCTTTGCGCTGGGCCAGGAGGGCTCTGCCCCAAAACCAGCCTCCTGGGGCCCCACATCTAGGAGCTGGGGGTTTGGAAGAATAACAAGAAATAATTAGAGTTAAGCCAAAACCCCCTAGGAGGACCCCTTTATTCCCCGCCAGGGTATTCTCTGGATGTCCTTTTCTTTATTTACAGGAACCACTTCATGGAGCGGCCCCTATTTCTTTCCTCACCTGGCACCTGCCCGGAAGCCAGGGGCGCCCATCACCGTTCCTTGGCCCCTTCCCGACCCCTCCCCACCAGGTAAGGCGCTCTCCACCTCCCCGACCGTGCTGTTCTCCCTGACCCCGTGCGCAGAGACTCGGGGACTGAAGGACCAGACCCCCGACACAAGACAGCTCAAAAACCGGGAAACGGAGGCCCAGGCCTCCCTCCCTGCGCCTCTGCCTCCACCACCCTCCAGCCGAGACGCTGGGGTTCACCAATCCCGCAGCTGGCCCGCCCCCCCTGCCCGAGAGCCTTCTTCCCAGTGCCCCCTTTCAGGTAGCATCTCGGGCACAGCCGCGGGGCCGGGGCGAGCGCGGAGCAGGCAGGGGCGCGGGGCCAGGAGCGCAAAGCCGAGGCCGACGCCGAGGCTGCGGCGCCACCTACAGTCCGCGCGGCTCCCATTGTTTCCCGGCCCGCAGAGAGCGCGCCCGGCCCCCCGTCGGGGGGCAATTTACCCGGATAAAAGGGGCGGGGCAGGAATTGCAAGAAGATGAAGCTGGGAGAACCTGAGACGGTCGGAACTGCGGGGGGAAATTCTATTGGACGGCTTTGACGTCAGATGTGCTGGGCTGGGAAAGTCGGGAGAGGGAGTGCGAGTGGCCTTTTAAGGGGAAGGACCCCAAGGCCGAGGTGAGGCTTTTACCGACTAGAGGGTGAAGGAGGCAAAACTCGGTGCCCCCGAACCTCTGACCCCGGGGTTCCTGACCCCGCCCCTGCTGGTGCCCCATGCCGAGGGCAACCACTGGGAGCCCGAGGCCTGGGGGAGGGGCCCCAGTTGTCGATCGCTTTGCAAAATCAAACTCTCCCAGCCAAGAACCTCGGGGCCGCTGCGCGGTGGGGAGGAGTTCCCCGAAACCCGGCCGCTAAACGAGGCCTCCTCCTCCAGCAGATCCGAACGGCCTGGGCGGGGTCACCCCGGCTGGGACAAGAAGCCGCCGCCTGCCTGCCCGGGCCCGGGGAGGGGGCTGGGGCCGGAGGCGGGGTGTGAGTGGGTGTGTGCGGGGGGCGGAGGCTTGATGCAATCCCGATAAGAAATGCTCGGGTGTCTTGGGCACCTACCCGCGGGGCCCGTAAGGCGCTACTATATAAGGTTGCCGGCCCGGAGCCGCCGCGCCGTCGGAGCAGGAGCGCTGCGTCCAGGATCGAGGGCCACGGCCATCCCAATCCGGCACTCACAGGCCCGCAGCGCATCCCGGTCGCCGCCCAGCCTCCCGCACCCCTATCGCCGGAACTGCGCCGAGAGCCCCAGGGAGGTGCCATGAGGAGCGGGTGTGTGGTGGTCCACGCCTGGATCCTGGCCAGCCTCTGGCTGGCCGTGGCCGGGCGTCCCCTCGCCTTCTCGGACGCGGGGCCCCACGTGCACTACGGCTGGGGCGACCCCATCCGCCTGCGGCACCTGTACACCTCCGGCCCCCACGGGCTCTCCAGCTGCTTCCTGCGCATCCGCACCGACGGCGTCGTGGACTGCGCGCGGGGCCAAAGCGCGCACAGTGAGTGCCAGCCAGGTCCCCCGCCCGCCCCGCCGCGCACACCCCACCCCGCCCCGCGCATCCCACCCCAGCGCCCTTCCTTTCTTTGCTACCCTTAGGCTCCTGCGGACCCCTCAACTCCTGGGAACCCCAGGTTTTGGCACTTGGGCGTTAGGATCCCTCCCTTAGTCCCCAAACAGCGCCTGACGCTAGGGAGAGGCACAGGCTCGTAGACCGATCGCACCACGTGGTGCGAGCCCCGGGGGTCCCGGCTGCAGCTTCTTGCTTCCCCTGCGCCCAGGTTTGCTGGAGATCAAGGCAGTAGCTCTGCGGACCGTGGCCATCAAGGGCGTGCACAGCGTGCGGTACCTCTGCATGGGCGCCGACGGCAAGATGCAAGGGCTGGTAAGTGTCCCCACGGGGCGGATGCGCCGGGGCGGGGGACCAACGCCTGTTCCCGGGCGGAGGCCTGAAGGAGAGAAAGGCGCTGGTTCGAATCCAGGGTTTCCTCACCTCCTCCGACCAGACCCGTGTGCAACTTCGAGGGAGATTGCAAAGACCGATTAAGTGCATGTCCGACGATTTTCTACTGAAATATAGGGTCTCAGCCAGTAGCCAGAGAATAGGCAAAAGCTGCCTTTGCATTTGCAATTGAGTCAAAGGCCGGCCCAGCCGGACCGAGGAAACCCATTATTCGGCCTCCTTTGATATTAAACAGGAAAACCCACCTCAGGCCTTTTCAGCCTCTGCCTGCGCGTGTGTGGTCCTCGCCTCCGTTTCCCTCCCTCCAGTATAAAAAGAAGAAAAAAAGAACAGGAAAGAAAAAAGAGGGTCTACTCATAACTTTCCTTTAAAAACAAATCAATTGTCCAGCAAGGCAGAAAACAGTGCATGTGGAATAGGCGAGTTTTTTTAGAATTAATTTTTAATCTACCAGGAGCACCGTGTGGCTTAGACGCAGATGCGCTGGAGTCAAGTTGCGCCAGAGGCGTGCTTTTCCTCCTGCGGGCCTCACCTGTCCTGTAAACGCTTTCTGGTGGGGGCAGGGGGTGGCGGCTGGCTGGGAAGGCCCAGGTAACCGCAGAGGTCCCGGGGCCGGAAGTGTACGAGCGCTGGGGCTCTGGTGGCCCTGGAACAAAGGCTGGGAGTTCAAAGGAACGAACCCGCGCCCCTCCCGCGGCCCCGCGCGCAGAGGATGCTGTGTGAGGTCTCGGCCCGCGCAGGCCTCACACGCAGCCCCGGACTCCCTGGTGGAGCAGGGGCCAGGGCGGGGGTGGCCGCGCCTGCCCGGGGCCCCCACCCCAGAAAGGATGCAGAGGCGGGGCCGCCTCCAGCCCAACCAGCTCCTTTGTGAACAGCGGGACAAAGCATTTTAAGAGTCTCAAAATTGCTCGGTGCTTCTGTCGTGCTCCGTGTACTCAGAGCGCCTGTTTCAGGTTTTATGGCGGAGTCCTGCGTGAGAGGACTGCAGGGAAATGGGGTGGTCGGCACGCTGGACGCTGACTCCCACCCAGAGCCACTCCAAACCCACCCTTGCAACTTTAATTTTGACATTTATTATGGGGGGGGGGAGTGCTTCTAATGATGGGAGGCCAGCAGGGGACGTCAACCTAACCCGCCATTCTGCCCAAATTGGGGGTTGGGTCACCTGAAATCCCTTTGTGCCTTTTTTCTTCTTTTTTTTGGCAGAGTTTTGCTCTGTGGCACAGGCTGGAATGCAGTGACCCAATCTCGGCTCACTGCAACCTGTGCCTCCCAGGTTCAAGCGTTTCTCCTGCCTCAGTCTCCCATGGAGCTGGGATTACAGGTGCCCACCACCATGGCCAGCTAATTTTTGTATTTTTAGTAGAGATGGAGTTTCACCTTGTTGGCCAGGCTGGTCTCGAACTCCCAACCTCAAGTGATCCGCCCGTCTCGGCCTCCCAAAGTGCTGGGATTACAGGTGTGAGCCACTGGGCCCAGCCCTCTTTGTGCCTCTTGATCCCCTGTGCATGGTCTAACACAGATTGAGGATCTTTCTCCTTCCGTTCGTTCGTTCGTTCGTTCGTTCGTTCTTTCTCTCTCTCTCTCTTTCTTTCTTTCTCTCTCTCTCTTTTTTCTTTCTTTCTCCTTCCTTCCTTCCTTCCTTTTTCTTTCTGTCTCTCTCTTTCTTTTCTTTCTCTCTCTCTTCCTTTCTTTTTTGAGACGGAGTCTCGCTCGCTCTGTCACCCAGGCTGGAGTGCAGTGGCATGATCTCGGCTCACTGCAACCTCCACCTGCGGGGTTCAAGCAATTCTTCTGCCTCAGCCTCCCAAGTAGCTGGGACTACAAGCGTCGTGCCATCATGCCCGGCTAGTTTTTTTTGTATTTTTAGTGGAGATGGGGTTTCACCATCCTGGCCAGGCTGGTCTCGAACTCCTGACCTCACGATCTGCCTGCCTTGGCCTCCCAAAGTGCTGGGATTACAGGCGTGAGCCACCTCGCCTGGCCTCTTTCTTTCTTAAATAAAGATTCCACATTCTTCTAGAAACTTGAAGTCATTTCATTTTCTGTATGGAGAATGTGATACTTATTTCTCCCAAATGACAAGCCGAGTAAATAGAAGAAGGTCCTCCAGTTATTCGGTTTTGTGTTCCTTGTTTATTTATCATTTGGCATGTTTGGGAGAAATCGTGCTTGCTGTCCAGTGCTTTGTCCCAGCCATCCGTGGGCTCGGCAGGAGCCTGGGTTGCTGCAATGAGCCTCTTATCAGGAGCTTATTGGCACAGGCACATCCTCACCCACCTGCAGTTCAGTGACCTTTGCAGACTTAGGCAGAAACCTGACTGAGGCCGTCAGTGTGTTTACTGCCCAGCCCTTCCGGCTCCTGCCTGCGCCTGTCCTGGGTCACCAAGGGGTAATGACACCTGTGTGGGATGGCACTTGCCCACTGGCACCTCTCAACCCTGTGGACTATGAATGTTCTAAGAAGAGGGACTGGCTTCCCTCAGCACACATTTCCGGCCACCAGCTGGGCGCCCGCCTGGCCTGGCCTGGCCTGGCCTGGCCTGGCCTGACCTGGGGGAGGGGCTACTGAGATCCGGCTTCTGGCAGCCTGCCTAGAAGGCCCTTGGTGACTGAATGGAGGAGACAGGGGGGCTGATGGTTCTCAGAACTGCTGCAGACCAGAAGGCCTTAGAATGATAAAGGCACACAGTGATTTCTGAGATAGGTGGGGAACAGATGCTTTCATCTGGGCTCCAGATCGGATTACATGCAATTTATTTAAAAGACCTGTCCTAAGATGATAACCCGGTTTATCAGTGTTTCCCAAAGTGCCAGTGAAATACCCAGGAACTTTTTAATGCCAGGAGTTGTGTATGTAATGTAAAGGGTGAGGGAAACACGGACGGCATTCCTGTGGGTTGATGGATATTATTGCTCAGGACAAGGTTCTCGGAAAAGGTGAGGTAATTTAGTGGAAATTATTTGGGTCTATATAAAGTGTATATGTAGTATTAAGTATATACATAAAATATATGTATATGAAATAATAAACCTCAGTTTTGTCTGTGTGCATGTATATCTATATAAAGATTATTAAAAATTTATAAAGGTATATAAATGTATATTTAATTTATTAATGTGTTATATATTAACATAATGTACATATTACATATACTTACACTTACAGTACATTTATATATGTGTGTTTTCTGTGTGTATATATAGTTGTGGGTTTTTTTGTTTGTTTGTTTTGAGACAGGGTCTTGCTCTGTAACCTAGACTAGAGTGCAGGGGCATGATCATTGCTCACTGCAGCCTTGACCCTCCAGCCTCAACCCATCCTCCCACCTCTAAGCCTCCCGAGTAGCTGGGCCTACAGGCACCCACCTCCATGCCCTGCTAATTTTTGTACTTTTTGTAGAGATGGAATTTTACCATGTTGCCCAGGCTGGTCTCAAACTCCTGGATTCAAGTGATCCACCTGCTCTGGGTCTCCCAAAGTGCTGGGACTACAGGTGTAAGCTACTGTGCCTGGCCTTAAAGTACATTATATATTATATATGCTTATATATATAAAGGTATATTTTATATATACTTACATATACAGTGTGTACATCAGGAAGTATGTATAAAACATGCAAGAGATGCTCATGGGGAAGGTCACTGCTGGTGGCACCCAGGGACAGTCTGTAGCACAAATGTCCATGTGTACCCGTGTTCCCCCTCCACTGTGGATTGCTCAGAGCTGCTCGTTTTCTCTGCAGCTTCAGTACTCAGAGGAAGACTGTGCTTTCGAGGAGGAGATCCGCCCTGATGGCTACAATGTATACCGATCTGAGAAGCACCGCCTCCCGGTCTCCCTGAGCAGTGCCAAACAGCGGCAGCTGTACAAGAACAGAGGCTTTCTTCCGCTCTCTCATTTCCTGCCCATGCTGCCCATGGCCCCAGAGGAGCCTGAGGACCTCAGGGGCCACTTGGAATCTGATATGTTCTCTTCGCCCCTGGAGACTGACAGCATGGACCCATTTGGGCTTGTCACCGGACTGGAGGCGGTGAGGAGTCCCAGCTTTGAGAAATAACTGAGGCCATGCCCGGGCCTCTTCACTGCTGCCAGGGGCTGTGGTCCCTGCAGAGTGGAGGCCATGCTTCTACAAGAGCAGTCCCGAGTCCACGTTCTGTTTAGCTTTAGGAAGAAACATCTAGAAGTTGTACATATTCAGAGTTTTCCATTGGCCGTGCCAGTTTCTAGCCAATAGACTTGTCTGTCTGATCATAACATTGTAAGCCTGTAGCTTGCCCAGCTGCTGCCCGGGCCCCCATTCTGCTCCCTCGAGGTTGCTGGACAAGCTGCTGTGCTGTCTCAGTCCTGCTTGAATACCTCCACTGATGGGGAACTCACTTCCTTTGGAAAAATTCTTATGTCAAGCTGAAATTCTCTAATTTTTTTTCTCATCACTTCCCCAGGAGCAGCCAGAAGACAGGCAGTGGTTTAAATTTCAGGAACAGGTGATCCCCTCTGCAAAACAGCACATAAATTTCACTCAACCCCATGTGGGAATTGATCTATATCTCTACTTCCAGGGACCCTTTGCCCTTCCCAAACCCCTCCAGGCCACCACTGACTGGAGCAGGCATGGCCCAAGCGGCTTCAGGAGTAGGGGAAGCCCGGAGCCCCACTCCAGCCCTGGGACATCTTGAGAATTCCCCCTGAGGCCAGTTCTGTCATGGATGCTGTCCTGAGAATAACTTGCTGTCCCCGGTGTCTCCTGCTTCCACCCCCCAGCCCACCAGCCCTCTGCCCACCTCACATATGTCCCCATGGATTGGGGCTTCCCAGGCCCCCTACCTTATGTCAACCTGCACTTCTCGTTCAAAAATCAGGAAAAGAAAAGATTTGAAGACCCCAAGTCTTGTCAATAACTTGCGGTGTGGAAGCAGCGGGGGAAGACTTAGAACCCTTTCCCCAGCACTTAGTTTTCCAACATGATATTTATGAGTAATTTATTTTGATATGTACATCTCTTATTTTCTTACATTATTTATGCCCCCAAATTATATTTATGTATGTAAGTGAGGTTTGTTTTGTACATTAAAATGGAGTTTGTTTGTATCAAAAGTTGCATTCTGTTATCCGCCTGGAATGTTAAGGAAAGTGGGGAAGGGGCTGGTGGGGAGCAGCGCCATCCACGGGAGGAAACCCTCGGTGTGTTTGCCCTTGACACCAAAAGCTCGGGTGGGAAGTTCAACGGGTGTGGGCCAGCCAGCTCTACTGGTGGAGGTTGGTTTGGACCCTGCTGTCCTGCCTTTTCCTCATGTCTAGGGACTTGGCTTCCTCAGACCACCTTCTCTCTAGCAATCTCAGTGGTTAGGGCGGCCTCTCTGCCAGGAGTATTTTTGGTTGCAGGAAACAGAAACACCAAGCAACAGTGGCCTAAGTCAGGGCCCCTCACCCTCAGTACTCTTCACTGAGGGGAAGATGTTCCTGCGTTTAGCAGTCCACCCACTAGATGCCTGTAGCAACCCCCAAGTTGTGACAACCAAAATACCACCAGAAGTTGTTGCATGTCCTTGGGGGGCAAAATCACCCTTAATGGAGGACCACTGACCTGAGCGAATAGGATTTCTTTTTTGCCCAGCTGCAAATCCAGAGGGACCCAATGGCCCAGCGACGCCTGAGCTGTGCCCTCTGTGATTCCCTTGGTGTCCCTGTCATGCTGGGGCCTTGTCTCAGCAGGGCTGCTGTGGCTTCAGCTGAGCGCCCTGTACTCAGCGAGAGGGAATCATTTTGGGCTGGGCCTCTCTCATCAAGAAAGCCAACACTTCCTTAGAACCTTTCAGCAAATTCCGGTTACATCCTATGAACCACGTTTGCATCGCAGGACCAGGCCAGCCCCAGCTGCAAGGCAGGCTGGGAAGGCAAGAATTAGCGGTCAGGGTGACCAGGTGTGGGTCCACATCCTGAGTGCAAGGAGGAGCAGGTGCAACCAGACACCAACGTGTGTATGAAACACAATTCCAAGTGAGTGTTTGCCAGCGATTAGGGATGGTGGAGGGAGTCGGAGAGGATGGTTGGGTCACTCAGGGCAGTAGTTCCCAGGTACTTATGTTGGCAGTGAGGGGGGTAATGTCATTGTTGAAGACTACAAAGGCTATTTCAGGTGAAGCCTCCCCACTCTTCAGTAAAGGGGACCTCCACTTGTCATTCTCACTGATGACATGCCCAGAACACCCAGAGTTGACCCTTGGGCCATTCCCTGTCTCCATTTGCCAATCGAGATGCTCTTCTCACTCTTTGGTGTCCTCATCATGTAACCATGCTGATTAGAGAGCTGGCAGACAGGGCTGAGGGATGCTTGTGGACACAGTCTTCTCTACCTGCGGCAGGGCAAGACACGAAAGGCACTCACCTGGAGCCACACAGCCTGGAGGCAGCTCAGGGGCTGTGGGCAGGGCCCTTTGATTGCTGTGTGACCTTGAGTAAATCACATCGCCTCTCTGAGCCTGCATCCTTCTGTGGACATGAGATTAACAGGGTCTGCGTGGTAGGGCTATACGGGAATCCAGTGAAATAATGTCTGCGGGATGCCTGACACAGAGTTAGCTGCCTGTCCGCAGCGACCCTCACCAAGGATCGAACGATCTGTCCTGAGCTATTATGTCCACTGGTTCTCAAATTTGGCTGCACACTGGAAAAAGATGATAGCTGGGACCCACTCATGGAGATGCTGGGCTTTTTTTTTTTTTTTTTTTGGTCTTTCTTTCTCTCTCGCTCTCTCTTTCTTTATTAAGACCGTCTCACTCTGTCATCCAGGCTGGAGTACAGTGTGTAATCACCGATCACTGCAGTCTTCACCTCCTGGGCTCAAAGGATCCTGTTGCCTCAGCCTCTCAAGTAGCTGGGACGACAGACCCAGGCCCAGCTCATTTTTTTTTAAAATTTGTAGCAATGGGGTGTTGCTATGTTGCACAGGCTGGTCTCGATCTCTTGGGCTCAAGTGGTCCTCCTGCCTTGACCTCCCAAAGTGCTGGGATTACAGGTATGAGCCACTGTGCCCAGCTGAGATTGTGATTTAATGGGGATGGGTGTGGTCTGGGCACTGGGATTTTTTTCAAAAGCCCCCCTGTGGTTCTTATGTGCAGGGAACCACAGGGAACCAGTTCAGATTCCATCCTTTGTGCTCTGAAGACCAGCACTTCAGGGAGAAAATGAAGAAAGAGGCTTATCAGCACCTCCCTCTCTGGAGTCTTCTTCCTTCTGCACAGGGGAGGAATAACAGTATATGGATAACAAGTAAATGTACATAAACTAATTCACACTAGACTGTTGATGGTTAATATGTTTGCTCTCCAGGCCACATTTTTACTGACCTGACAGCTGCAAAGCCCTGATGCCAGACTGTGGGTGATGTGGGCATTCTGGCAGGAGATGGGGAAGATTATTTTTCTGAGGCTGCCTCTTAGCACCCACCCTACCCCGACTCTTCCCCTGGTCCTCATAAAGAGGTGGCCTTGCCCTCTTCCTGCATCCCCTGTCCCTGCTTTAGATAGCGTTGCCAAGTACATAAAAATACAGCATCCAGAGCTACATTTGAATTTCAGATGAGCAATGCATTTCTTTAGTAGGAATGTGTCTCATGCAATATTTGGAACATAGGTACACTAAAAAGTTATTCATTGTCAATCTCAAATTCAAATTGAACCGGGTGTCCTGTGTTTTGTCTGGCAAGCCTAGCCTTAGGCCCACACCACTGACATGGAGTTAAAAATGAGAGAGGACTGGGGCAAAAAAAACTGTTTCTGTTGAACAAGACTCTCTGCTGGTGAGAGGCCAAAATGGAATTCAAAAGATCCCATGGGCAGGGGAGGCCTTGAGTGAATCCCGGTCTTTCTTCGGGCCGTTTCTGCATCTGTAAAGTGAGAGCCTCTTCATCGCCTCAAGGCCTGTTGACTCCTGGGGATTCTGGCAAAGTGCCCAGGGGCTGGGAAAGGCATCTCATCCAAGAAGGAGGCTGGAACCCAACACCCCAGCATTAGGACTCTCGTGGTTGCAGGTGACAGAAAACACAACTCAAACTGACTTGAGGTAGGAAAAACAAGGGAACTTATTGGCTCACCTTACTGAGAAGGCCAGGCGGTGCCGCGCTTCAGGCATGCAGGATCTGGGAACCGGCACCACACCAGGCATCGTCTATCTGTCCGTTTTCAAGCACCTTTTCCCTTTGCAGTGACAAGATGGCCCCAGCAGCCTCAGCTGAGATGATGGGCAATTCTCTTCTCTTACCAACAACTCCAGCAAGAGCCCCGGATTGGGTCCCAGGGATCCTTCCTGTGTCCCTTGTTCATCCCAGCTGGGCACAGGAGGCTCTGACCAGCTGGACTGTGTCCTCTTCTATAGCCCAGGGAAGAATCAGGCCTCCTGGGATGCTAGGACTAAGAAGGGGAGAGACACTTCCCCAGAGGAAAACCCAGGGCACAGATATTCCCCCAAGTTCCTACAATTCACCATCCACTGGGCAAGCTTCCCTCTTCGGATTGGGAAATGACAGCCAAAAATGTTTTACAAGACCAAAGAGGAGAGGGAGTGGGTGGGGACAGGGCCACCCAGATGCAGAAATTGTCCACTCAGTCATGGAGGACGTGAGACAGCATCCTTCCTGCCCTAGTCTCAGACTCCCTCCCCTACTCTCAAGGTGAGCAAAAGGAACCTCAATTAGGGGAGTGGGGAAAGAAGGTATACCTTTTGCCACTAGAGGCAAAGAAAGAGAGCGTGCGTGTGCGAGAGAGAGATAGACAGACACACAGACACTGGGTATTACAATAGAGCCGTGCACCCCATAGTGATGTCTCAGTTAATGTCGGACCACATATACAATGATGGTACCTTAACGTTACAACTTCATATTTTTACTATGCCTTTTCTGTTTTTAGATATGTTTAGATACACAAGTACTTACCGTTGTGCAACCTTTGCACAATGGTACTGCTACAGTGTTCAGAGCAGTACCGTGCTGTGCAGGTGTGTACCCTAGAAGCAATCAGCTGTACCACTTAGCCCAGGTGTGCAGCAGGCGACACCATCTAGGGTTGTGTGAGTATACTCTATAATGTTCGCACAATGGCGAAATCGCCCAGTTGATGCGTTTCTGAGGACGTATCCCCATCGTTCACACTGCATGGTTGCATACTTACCTGACTGTCTGCATCTCGTACTGTGGACTGAGGCTATCAGCTCAGCATTTTGAGTGAAATGCAAGAACATTACCTACATCACCTTTACTTAGGTCTCTTTCTCTCCCCACTTTTAAATTTTCATTAAGTCTTTCCTCTACATATATTGAGCACCACATCAAATGCCATGATTTTTGGTGTCAGGCATCAAAGATGATTTTTAAAATGCATAAGAAGGACAATCTCATATTTTTACCCCTATTTTTAATCAGTCTGATATTCCTCTTTCCTTTCTGAACTTCAAAGCCTATTTAGAGAACTTCCTTTGACTATTTTCTTTTTTTTTTTTTTAAAGACAGAGTCTCACTGTGTCACCCAGGCTGGAGTGCAGTGGCACAGTCTCAGCTCACTACAGCCTCTGCATTCCTGGGCTCAAGAGATCCTCCCACCTTAGCCTCTAGAGTAGCTGGGGCCACAAGCACACACTACCATGCCTGGCTAATTTTGTTCATTTTTTGTACAGATGAGGTGTCCCTATGTTTCCCAGGCTGGTCTTGAACTCCTGGAATCAAGCGATCCTTCCACCTTGACTTCCCAAAGTGCTGGGATTGCAGGCATGAGCCACTGTGCCCAACCCTTCAGGCTGGTGTGATCTCATTGCACTGCAACCTCCGCCCCCTGGGTTCAAGTGATTCTCCTGCCTCAGCCCCCCGAGTAGCTGGGATTACAGGCGCCTGCTACAGTGCCTGGCTAATTTTTGTATTTTTTAGTACAGACGAGGTTTCACTATCTTGGCCAGGATGGTCTTGATCTCCTGACCTCGTGATCCACCCACCTCAGCCTCCCAAAGTGCTGGGATTACAGGCATGAGCCACCACACCCGGCTGTAGTTTTCAATCCTATATTCTCCATTTGGTTCTTTTCCATGACTTCCCTTTCTTTGCTGTG